CTTTCTTCTTTTTTTTTTTTCTTTTTCTTTTCCTTTCGTTTTTTTTTGTCCGTTTTTTTTTTCCTTTTTTCCTTTTTTCCTTTTTTGTTAATTTTCAATTATTTCTAATAAAACGAAAAGACTTGTGCGTTGCGATACGTTCTCGATAGCATAGAGCGTGGCTAATGGCTACGACAAACTGTTAATGGGCCAATAAAATCGTAGGATATATATAACAGAAATAGACGCTCGTTTGATCCAGGGTCAGAAGAACGAAGAGAGAAGCATCATGGTGGTCATAACGAAGCGCGAACTTTTGCGGAAGGGAATTTAACGAGGACGACGATCGAAAAAGGAAATTACGTTCATTTAATCGATCGTATATTATCGAGGACGGTAGACAGGAAGTCGGTGCGTCGATAAGCGAGCATAAATCATTATTATTTTACTTGGAAGGAGGACCTCTTAGTCTCTCTTCCGAGCATAGCATAGTATGTATATTTGCTGTCCTGCGAACGCGTCGTATTTTACAACACGATGAATCGAATAAAGGCGTCGTGTGGTACCTTAATGACCGGCTTGATTGCTCAGGCTGAAAGAAAGAAAGATGAAGAAAAAAAAAAAAGAAAACAACAAAAAAAATTAGCAACAACTATTCCCACCGTCTTACAGTAGTACCGAATCTCTCTAACTTACAGTTAAATACTTTTCAAAATATTAATTTAATAAGTATTAATTCTTTTTTCTTTCTTTTTTTACATTTTTCTAATCTATTTATGAATTATGTCTTTTATGTATATATACGTGTACACATACGCATACGTCATTGCATTATATATGTGTGTATGTGTGTGTGTGTGTGTGTAGATATTGCAAAAGAATAAATTTTACAAAATATATACAATTGTGTGTGTATATTTATATATATATATATATATATATATATATATATATGCATATTATGTATATTATATATGTATATATACAAGAATAAATTTTACAAGTAAAAAAGAATTTTATATATGTATATAAAATATATATATATATGAAATATATAGTATAGCTTAGATATAATTTTAGATTTTAAATAATATATATATATATATATATATATATATATATATATATCTGTGTATATATCTTCGCAAATCTTGTTGTGAATGATTAAAAATTAATATTTATATTTTTATTACGTTATACTGATACCTATATACTTACGTGTCATATATATATCGAAAGTACATAAGTATTTCAATTGAAATTTCTAATTAGAAAATAATATTATCCTTTACTGATTCTCGTCATGAATCGTTATAAGGAGGCCGAAGAAAGCTTCCATCGAGTTCCCCACCTATCTATTTCGAGATAAAATTTACAAGTGAAGAGAAACTTTCGACGATATCGACGCCCACGGTTATTACGTTTTCCGAACGATCGACGGTGAAAGAGACCGAGAAATTGGCAGGACTAGGAGATCGTTTTGCGCTAAAGCTGCTTTCGACGAGTGGTCCGAGGAGGCCCTTGAGTACCACGGCCAACCTGTAATTAGAACACCTCGAGTGTAATTCTAATTAGGGGTCTCTCTCGCTTAGCCATAAATCTTCAACCATTATGAGGGTCATGTTTGGATGAACCCTAAAAAGAAAATCGGCCTTTTGGATCATTTAGCAAATCAAACCGTTGGTCGAGATATAGGATCGACGATTTTTTTCTTCATAACCTCAGCCTTAAACATTGGTAAAGATTAATCTGTTCTTTCTTGGTTTTTCTCTCTCTCTCTCTCTCTCTCTTTTTTTTTTTTGTTTTTTTTTTCTCTCTTTTTGTATCCACTAAAAATCATTTCACATTAGCGCGATATCAAAAGATACAAGAATAAAAATAATTTAATAAACGTCTTAATAATTTATAAGAATCTTAATAATGAGAGAGAGAAAAAAAAAAAAAAAGGAAAAGAAAAAAATCGTACGGCATATGCGACGTAACGAATCCAGTACATACATGAACAGTACAGCTTACAGGCACATTTCATTTTATATCATTGCTTATCATTTTCTAATTTGCATGCTTCCAGTGAATTACGTCACCATAATTTTCTTCCTATTATTATTATTCATCTCTATTATCTTCCAATTCCATACGTAGATATCGATTAGATAGAAAATAATGAGGCCCATTCGCTTGGACTGTAACAGGAGCTAATCAGACTAGGATAATCCATCAAAAGTGTCGATTAATTATATTGTATTGCGAAGCCCGAGGTGTCTTTTAAACGAAATAAAACGATATAAGGGGAAAAAAAAAAAATATAATATAGATTGAGAGGACTTGGTCGTTCAAAAAAAAAAAAAAAAAGAAGAAAAAACAACAAAAGAAGAAGAGAAAAAAAAAATTATAATAATAATAATAATAACAATAATAATAATGAAAAAAGAAATAAGAAAAAGAGAAAAGGATGAAAAAGAAAAGTTACGTGAAAAAATTGTATCGATTATTCGTAAAGGAAAAATAATACTCTTAAGAAGTAGTTACCGGTATCCTTTATTTTATCTCTCTCTCTCTCTCTCTCTGTCTCTCTTTCTCTGTCTCTCTCTCTCTTTCTTTCTAACTCTCTCTCATCGACGTTGCAACGCTGCTAATACACGGCAGATACCATCGCATCTGTCGTTGGATATTTCCACGTCGTGGATGCCGCTAGTAGCAGTGTGCATCAGTCAAACGTGTCATTATCTTGTAAATCATTAGCGATTGTCCGAGCCGTGAATCGCCATTGCCGATGTAGCCTACTCGTATAATAATCAATTTATGCTTTACATCGAAAGCAAGAAAATCGATTATCGATCGATCTACGTGACACGAAACGAAACCACGACTTTACGCATTTATCTCGTAATAGCTATCAATAGATCGTCAACGTAAATCCATGATTTTTAATGTTAATTTACAAAGAGATAGAGAGAAAAACAAAAAAAAATGACAGAGAGACAGAGAGACAGAGAGAGAGAGAGAGAGAGAGAAAGAGAAGAAGAAGAGTGAAGAAAAAAGAAACAAAAATAAACGATAAAACACATCGTCATTTCTCGTATATTAACGTCGAAATAGGTAAACCTTTGCCAACAACAACTACAACGTGTCTTACCGTAAATCAAAGGACGTCCGTAGGCGTAAACATTCGAAGTTTGTGGAAACGAGAGCGTGCGCATTCACTCTAGCACCTCCTCTTTCCTCTCATGGGGTCGGTCAAAGCTGCCGAGAGAGGATCGGCTCATTTGTTGCGTATTAGCGTAGGATAACGAGCTTTTAAAGTCTACCGCCTTTAACGCCGAGGTAGCCTTCGTCTATTCGAATTCATGGAAAATGAACGAGGGAAAAGGACGATATTTCATGCCGACAACGTTCATTCTCCTTTATCTCTTCTCTCTTTCTATCTTGCTCTCTTGCTTTCTTTTTTTCTTTCTTTCTCTCTCTCTCTTTCTTTCTTTCTTTCTTTCTTTCTTTCTTTCTTTCTTTCTTTCACTTTTTTTTATCCCTTCTTCTTTTACGATCGGATGGGTTAACAACGACGAACACGAACAGAGGCTTCCCCTATAGTTTAACGACGGCTTAACGACGCGAAAATCGCTAATCATATTTTTTTTTTTATTATTTCTCTCCTTCTTTATTTCAAACAAATCCTATAATTTGATATCATCTACCGCGAAAATTGTCTTTACTGATAGAAACGAAGATGTAACGTTGCGTTATAGTAATGTTATAGTAATGGTCAATAAATGATAAGACAAATAGATATCGTAGAGTGTTAAGTTTAAAATGAAAAGTATCAAAATGGTAATGCGAAAATCGATAATCATAATTTTTTTTTTCTAATTTTTCCTTCTTTATTTCAAACAAATCCTATAATTCGATATCATCTACCGCGAAAATTGTCTTTACAGATAGAAACGAAGATGTAACGTTGCGTTATAGTAATGTTAGTAATGATCACTAAATGATAAGACAAACAGATATCGCGTTATAGTAATGTTATAGTAATGGTCACTAAATGATAAGACAAATAGATATCGTAGAGTGTTAAGTTTAAAATGAAAAGTATCAAAATGGTAATGCAAAAATCGATAATCATAATTTTGTTTTTAATTTTTCCTTCTTTATTTCAAACAAATCCTATAATTCAATATCATCTACCGCGAAAATTGTCTTTACAGATAGAAACGAAGATGTAACGTTGCGTTATAGTAATGTTAGTAATGGTCACTAAGTGATAAGACAAACAGATATCGTAGAGTGTTAAGTTTGAAATGGAGTACCAAAATAGTAACATTTAATGAGATTCGTAAACAAAGATATTTTTTCAATAGGAGATTGTAATAGGTGACAAAGATACGTAAGTAACTTAGCTATATATATCTACGTAGTAAAATAGATTTTTCATTCTATATTGAAATAGGAATCACTAATTTCGTAAACATCTGATGTTATCGAACGGTTTAAACCAATCACGTCATTTGAATTCTCATTATGTCTCATTATTTCTAAATTTTCCTGTATCCAAGATGCAAATGTATATACGAAACGAGTTTATAAAAACGAGAAATAGTACATGGAATCGTCTAAAGTATTCTAATGTCGTGCATAACAGTCAAATTTCAAAAAAGGTAATAGGTAGTAAAAGTTGTTTTTAAAGAATTGAATACATTTTGGATATTGACCTGTCGTCGATCTCCAACAGTGACGATACCAACGGATAGACTCGTAAGGCGCCACTTCATGCTCGTAAACCAGTCAAAATGTCGACGCTTTTCGACCCTCGTTGCGTTTTAAATCTGTTAACAAGAACAAGAGATTGTGGGCTCCTTTTAATTCCGTTCTGGTAGCTCGTAAAATTTGTCACAAGTTATTGGATTCGTCGAAACCAAAAGCGTGGTGAAGTTGGAGGGAGAAACAAATAGATAGCAAATTTTGTCAAAGTAGGTAAACGTAAAAGATAATTCACGATTATCGTAAGGAAAAGACGAGATATAAAAATAAGAATAAGATTGGTAAAAAAGAAAAAAAAGAAAAAAAAAGAAAAGTTGATATAGATAAGAATTCGATTCAGACAAAAAGGATTATCGAACGTTTCAAAAGAAGGATGAGTTTTCCCATAGGGAAAAAAAAGAAAGAAGAAAAAAATAAAAGAAGCCAAAGAGAGAGAGAGAGAGAGAGAGAGAGAGAGAGAGAAACGTGCCACGCGATCGGCTTCTTTATTCTCGCATTTCTTGTTTCTTTCCTTTTTTCTTGCATCGATCGAATTTGACTCCACGAGAGAGCCCCCAGCGAAGAAGAACGAAGAAGAAAGAGAAGAGAGGCGTGTCCGGTCTTGCGGCTTCTACAAAGAGATGCCCACTTCCCCGTGGATCCCTTCCACTCCTCAGGGATCCCCTTCCACGTGGGTCCCAGAAGCACGCTCTCTCCCTCCCTTCCATTAAGTCCCAAGAAAAGCAGCCGGCATGGTCCAGGCCACGAGATCGCCAGGTAAAGCCAGTTTACGCAACGCTTCCGTACGTGAAGCATCCTATACGGGACACGAGAAAATCGTGAAACTTATCTTATCGATCGCGAGAAGTATTAAAGTTTAAAAAGGATAACATGACATACGATTGACCGATAAGCAAATAAAAAAAAAAGTAAAGAAAACAAATCAGTTCAGAGATTGAAAGGGCAGACGTCATTACGTTTACGATATGATTCAAATGTGAAATACAATATTTCCTTCGTATCACGTAGAAAGACAACACAAATAGGATCCTGTGGGGGTAGGATGACCGCCTACGCGAACTTTCAGCAATACGATTTAATGGATTCCGAGGGTTATGGATCAGCGAGTAGTCCTGAATCGAATCCGCGAGTCTCTTGGCCTCATCAGGAGGTTTATCCTCAGCCACCAAGATCACGAGGCAGTAGTTGTGGTAGCGTTAGCTCGTTGGACAGTCACAATCATCAGGAATATCAAGAGATCGGTGCTTTGAATGGTGCTTTTCACGTTACCACTACGGCAACCTTTAATTTCGCTGAGTTTTATGAAGGTTATTACAAGGAAGGTTATAGAAACGATCATCAAACGCAAACTATGATAGGAAATCCAAAGGAACGTACGAAGATCGTATTCAGAACGAACGATCATCATCAACGTCTCGAAGAAATCTATCAAGCTCCTTTGAACAGTACAACGACATTTAACAACGAAACGTTCCCGAGCAAACAGGAATCCGGTTACGCGCCAAAAATGGAACATCATCCCACGAGCGTTGTCTTTGGGAACGACAGGTGCGAGTTCTCGCAAAAGCAGGATACTTTTTTTGTTGCAAAAGCCTATGCTATTGCAAAAAGTAATGGTCTTACTCACTCCGGAAGTAACGACAGTGGACCAGACGTTGGTCCTTACGGTCAAAGGCCAGAGGTCCTTTACTTTGGTAGTACCTGTACCATGCAGAGAAAGGACGGTTGTGCTACGAGCAATCAGACAACAATCGAAAACGATCAAATTAGGTATCATCATCAAAGGAACGAATCTTTTCGTAATACGGATTATACCGAACATAAGGACAAGGAATCCGTGCAAAAGATGAAGAATGGTACTGCACCGGGTGTCGAAGTGCTTAGGAGAAGAAGATTGGCAGCTAACGCCAGAGAGAGAAGGAGAATGAATAGTTTAAACGATGCCTTTGATAGGTTACGTGACGTCGTTCCTAGTTTAGGTAACGATAGGAAACTCAGCAAGTTTGAAACATTACAAATGGCACAGACTTACATAGCTGCGCTCTATGAACTTTTGCAAAGAGAATGA